AAATGCTTTCAGCTTTTCACCATTGAGAATGATATTGGCTATGGGCTTGTCATATATGGCCTTTATGATGCTGAGGTATGTTCCTTATATCCTGAGAATTTCAATGGCTTTTATCATGAATGGGTCTTGTACTTTGTCAAAGGCTTTCTCAGCATCTATTGATATTATCATATGGATTTTATATTTCTTTTTGTTGATGTGTTGGATGACGTTGATTGATTTTTGGATGTTGAACCATCCTTGTGTCCCTGGAATAAATCCTACTTGGTCATGGTGAATTATCTTATGGATACATTGTTGAATTCTGATACCTAAATTTTATTGAGGATTTTTGCATCCATGTTCATTAGAGATATTGGCCTGTGGTGTGGTTTTTTTTTTTTTTTTTTTTTTTTTTTTTGTGTGTGTGTGTGTGTTGTCCTTGTTTGGTTTTGGTATTAGTGTAATGTTGACTTCATAGAACATGTTTGATACTATCCCTTCTCAATTTTTTGAAAGAGTTTGTGAAGGATAGGCACTAATTCGTTTCTGAATGTTTGGTAGAATTCATTGGTAAATCCATCTGGTCCTGGGCTTTTGTTTTTGGGAATGGTTTTGATTACCATTTCAATTTCACTGCTTGTGATTGTTCTGTTTAGGTGTTTTATGTCTTTATCTAGATTTGGGTGATTATAGAGTTGTAGGAATTTGTCCATCTCTTCTAGATTGTTGAACTTGTTTCCATATAGCTGTTCATAGTAGTTTCTGATTATTCTTTTGATTTCTACTGTGTCTGTTGTGATTTCTCCTCTTTCATTTGTGATCCTGTTTATTTGTGTCTTCTCCCATTTTTCCTTTGTGAGCCTGGCTAGGGGTTTGTCTAATTTATTTTATTGAAGAACCAACTTCTGGTTTTGTTGATCTTTTGGATTTTTTTTTTTTAGTTTCTATTTCATTTATTTCTGCTTTGATTTTTATTTTTTTCTTCTACTAGTTTTGGGGTTTTGTTGTTGTGCTTTTTCTAATTCTTTGAGCTTTGAGATTAGGTTGTTTCTTTTTCTTTCTTGTTTCTTGATGTGAGCCTCTATTGCTATATATTTTCTTCTAATTAGTGCTTTTGTTGCATCCCATACATTTAGAAAATTGATATCCTCCTTGTCATTTAACTCAAAAGTATTTTTTATTTTTTTCTTTGATCTCCTCATTAGTCCAGTGGTTTTCCAGTAGTGTGAGTTTCAATCTCCATGAGGTAGGAGAGTTCCCTGCCTTCTTTTTAGGGTTTATTTCTAGTTTGATGCCTTCATGGTCAGAGAAGATGGTTGGTATGATCTCAGTCTTGGTGTATCTGTTGATGTTTGTCTTGTGTCCCAGTATGTGATTGATCCTGGAGAATGATCCGTGTGTGCTTGAGAAAAATGTGTACTCAGATTTTTTGGGGTTTAATGTTCTATAGGTGTTTGTTAAGCCCATGAGCTCTAGTTCCTTATTTAGAGCTTTAGTGTCCTTACTTAAATAAATAAATCTTTATAAATAAATACATACATAAATAAATAACCTAAAGAATAACTACATAGGAACACCACATGAAAGGAGGATTTATTCGGCAAATGTGTGTCTTTCTCCTAATAGACAGAATAAAGGAAATCCATCACTCCCAGAAATTAGTTGAAATTAGAAATTACTTGAGCAGGACCTCAACCTTGAAATGTAAACTGAAGACCAAATGAGATACTTTAATGAAAAAAGTTCAAATTATTATGTATATTATAGGAATGAGAAAGGATAAATTGAGCTGGATTTAGGAAGAAGAATGGCTGGCTAAACAAAATGGGATTAATAACATGTTCGGTTTGTAGAGACATGTCCCAATTTAGAAAGAGTAGAGTACAGCAATGCCTAAAACCACCTTTGTCCAACAGAAGCCTCAGAGAACAAGTATAAAAGGTGATAGCCCCATTTTACAGATGAAAATACTCAAGTTAAAGAACACGGAATGACTTTCTCATACTCAGTATCAGTGGTTTCCTTAAAATTGGTTGAATAAATTGTTAGGATCATGAGCTGGAAGGTATGGGAGTTGGATTACTATCTGAACATTCATCTGGCTTAGATGAAATGTGTAGAATTCTGGGTCTTTCTCAATTATGAGACTTATACTTCCCATCTCCAAGTTTTCCTGAGTAAAGAAATAGCTGGCATTCTTATTTCAACCTTGGTCTTTATACATAAAAGAAATAACAAGAAAGCAATAGCATTTCAAAGAATTGAAGATGCATAATTTTTCATATTTTAACACCTCTGAAATTGTGATGTCTTCTCAGAGATTTCTTATGATCTGTGGTAGTATTAAAGATTGATTTCATTACCTGAATGTGAACTAACTTGGTCATAGCTGCTTATACTGTCATCACCTCAGTGAAGTAGTAGAAATTGTTAGTATGTAAGTAGAAAGCTATTTTGAATACAAAAAGGGATATAGATTTGAATTGAATACTTAGTTTGGAGTAATGACCATCATTTCACTCTAAAGGACTTAAGAAAGATAGCCACAAGCAGCTGGGTATGTTGACTTACTACTAAGAGAGTCATAGAATGATTATCATGTACCAAGCAAAACAAAAGAGGCAGGAAAAATTAAGTCACTCAGAACATATGAAAGAAATTTCAAAGCAACAAGCAGCTGATGAGACTTCTAGAAGGGCTATTTTTAAAGCATTTCATAGCTTTCTTTTCATTCTTAACCATTCACAAACTAATTTTCATCTTACATTTCAAGAAATACGTGGTAATTTGTTAATCAGAAACCATGGTTCTGATCCCCTCTAGTTGTTGACTGGACTTTGCCTAAAGCTAGTCTTTTGATGAGGGACAGACATTAGGAAATCCATAGTAGATAAAAGCAAAGCCAAGCATTGAGGATTTTTACCCTGATTTTAGGAATCATAAGAATAATCAATTCTGATAATACCAAGATACATCCCAAATTAGGTCTATACAGCATGGGCATAGAAGGATGAGTTTGTCTAAATCAGAAGAGAGCTAACTTCCTCAAGCCTCTGCCCTCAGCAAAATCCTTCTTTAGGCAACTGAGATAGTCTCATATGACTCTGTCTCACAAACCTCATTCTGGGTAATTGACTTCTAGCTGTGTGCCTGGGAAAGTGCCTTCTCCATTAGCATAAGAGCTTTTTACTAAGGGCCTTTCCAGACTTAGCCAAGACATAAGTCTTGGCTTATAAGACCTATAGGAACAGAGGAATAGTTTTAAACTTTATTTAAAGAAAGCCTTAAGTTACATTAAAACAACCATTGACTTCACTTAGGATTATCCCCTCTAGTTCCATCCAATTTTTCATAAGTGGCAAATGTTCATTTATTTGCAGCGGAGTAGTATTTCACTGTGCAATCATCATCATCATCATCTTTCGGAATTTCTTTGTGAAAATATGTCAGCATTTGAGGTTTAAAATGAATCCACTGTAGAATCTTTTTTATACCTTAATTCAGTATGAACTCACCATTTTTAATGTACAGAAGATGAGGTAATGGAAAAGTAGGTGGTTTAGATTTTCTCTGTTTTCCCAGTTGATGGATACTCGCTTAATGTCTTTGTTGCTAGAGGGATTTATCATTAACTTAGGTATCTGTGTTAAAAAGCTCATGTCCCCAGATGACTCTGATAACAATATGCTGTACCCCAAAGATGTGCAGGTGGAACTAAAAGTATGTTTCACCAGACTTCTCAGTCTCATTTGAACACTTGTGCTTAAACATCTGCCTCTCAGCTCTCTCCTCAGTAGGGAGAAACCAATGGACACGTGTCACTGAAAGCTTTCTAGCTGCAGTTGAAAGCTGTTTACTTTTAGTCTCTCTTCAAGTTGAAAAGAGCTTATCACTGTTTTCTATCTAATAATATTGAAGGACTTTATTGCCACTAAGAACATTTGAAAGCATCTCTTTTTGAAACTTTACAAATCCCCTTCTTTAAAGTTTCATTTGTTTAGCTTTTCAACATTTCAATATCTCTTCCCTTACCATTTGTTGAATTTTGTATCTTTTCCACGTCTCTGTTATTCTCAACTAAGAACCTGGCCAAAAAGACAGGAGTTTATTCTCATACTATTAATGAGTAACCCAGAATCATGTTCAAGAGCAAAGACAAGAGCCTAATTGCCTAGGTTTGATTTCCAGACCTGCTACTTTACCAGCTAAGGACTTGCACAGATTTTTAACTTCTCTATGCCTCATCTTCCTCAACTGTAAAATGGAGATGATGATAATGTCTCCTCCCACACAGGGTTTCAATTAATGTAACATATACAAAGTATTAAGAAAAATACTTGCATAGCAACTGTTTATCTTATGTCTCAAAGCCAAAATTTGATTATGAGAGTCATGATGCATACTGGAAATTTATCCTGAATTCTAGATTTTTTTGTTTACAGTAACTTGAAACATCAGCCTGTTGTATTGTAATTTTGATATTACTCAATCTGGCATTTTTCTCTGTAAAATATAAGGCATGAGTATATTTGTTATTATGATTCATTTTTTAAAACTACCATTACCTGATTTCCTAGACTTTTTAAGTTGTAAAAGGGAAAAATGAAGTTCTTGTGTCACAGCTATAAATAGTGATCAACAGTCTTGGGTTTCCTGGAACTGAGGGATTTCAAGGGATATGGCTCTTTCGTTGTGAGAACAGGGAATGTCGTAGGCAAACTGGGATGGTTGGTTCCCTCTGGCTATAAAGATACTACATAAAGTGGGAATGGAACTGGGAATGGAAGAAGCAGTAGTAACATTAACTTCATTTAATACAAAAAATATATACATCATTGTTTCCTTGATTTTTGGCTCATGCAATCCCTGATGAGAATCTGAAGTGAAATTAATTAATTCTAAATGTCAGGCATTTGGGCTTCATTTTTTGCTATTATCATCCTCTGTGGAATATATTTCTTCTTTATATTATGCTGTTCTGATTTGCTCTGATCGCTTTTTGCCTGTTCATTTTTTAGGTCAACTCAAATCAAAACATACTCTTGGGATAATGCCCAGGTTATACTGGTTGGGAACAAATGCGACATGGAAGATGAGCGGGTCATCTCAACCGAGAGAGGTCAACATTTAGGAGAACAGCTCGGTAAGCAACACCTTAACATAATTAACCATGAATAGAACTTGGTAATTATTTCTAACAGAGTCCCAGCTAATTGCTATAATGGCTTTACTAAAAACTTTGTCACTTTGACAGTGGAAACCAACTCATCCTCCACAAGTAATACTTTGTGTGGCATTAAAATCCAAGAACAAGGGCCTCCCTGGTAGTTCAGGGGTTAAAGACAGTGCTATCAAGCTATGCCAGCCACTGCAGCACGAGTTGAATTCCTGCCGGCCAGGGAGCTACCCACATGGTACAGCAGACCTCTCCTGCCTCACCCACTGCTCCCCTCAGCAGTGTATTTCAGTATATCTGCCTGTTCTGTTTCCCCCTCTCTCTGATGAATCCTCTTACCCACCCACCCCCACCACACCTCTGGCTTACACCCCAGTTCTTGTATGCATAAATAAATCTTTTTTAAAAATTAACCAAAAAAAATCCAAGCGCAATTATGAAAGCAAAGTAGACAGCCAGTATCTTGACCTCTAGTACAAGGCATTCAAATTCTTATTTCATGAGAAATACAGGATATGCCTTGCCTGCTCTTTTTTTGGGATTTTTTTCCTTCACACACAATAATTGCATTAAATGAGCACCGTATTTTATTGTGTGATTGTTGTCCTCAAGTTTTCGTAGGTGGAAGATAATGGCACAGAATAGGTCACAGGATAGATTCTGATTCTAAGGACACCATTCACAATAGTAACTGTCAAAAAACCTCTTTAAGACTATTTCCTCTTCTCTCAAGAATGAGCTTCATAACCCATGCCCACTTTGTCATGTCCTTGTAGATAAGATCAACTGTGACAAGCAATACGTATGAGCGCTTTAGAATGGCAAAACCATTTCAAACACAAAACACTCATTTAAAGAGAAAATTGTTGCTGTGAGTTTCATTGCTAAGGGGATTTTGATTGGTTTATTGACTCAGCATTTTTACTGAGCAGCTGTTAAGTTCTTCATACCCTGCCAGACCTCACAGGACAGGAAGTAGGAGACCCACAGTCCCTGGGCTCTAGTTGCTGTCAGTCAAATGGGAAGACTAGGGATATAAACAAGAAAGCAGAAATAGCAAAACAACAACAAACAGGAGGAGATGGTAATGAGACAGATTCCAAGAGGAAAGCAACTGGTAAAGGGAGGCAGAAATGGGAGACAAGGATCAGAAGGAATGTGGGAGTGGAGTGGTGCAGAGGGGCAGATAAAGAACACTGCAGAGGAGACACGTACAGAGAAAAAGTGTGGAAACGAGCAGAACAGCTACGAAGAGATGAGTGATCAGAGGAGATAGAGATTGTATGGGTTAAATGTCTAGCTTAGGCTTGAATGGTCCCCAAAGGAGAGTAAATATGAAAACCACAGAGAGGAAAGGATAGATCATAAATAAAGAGCACAGTGGAGCAAAGACATTGAGAGGATCATTGAAAGGAAAAGCTGGAACCTAGTATAACTGTGGAAGTGTGCAGAGGTGTTGGAGACAATTCCAACCCTAGAACGAAAGAGCTGGAATTTTCCCCATCCCATATTTCTTTCACTACCCTTATTCTCCTCCTGCTTTTCCTTCACAGAGAACAATGCAGGATTCTTAGCAGGGAAGAATATTTATTTCCAAGCTTTATGGCCAGGACCTACAATAAGAAACCTATTCAGCCCACTATTCCAGTGGCTACATATAGAAAGAAAGAACAAAACAAAAGTTTCAAAAATACATTTTCCCTTGTTAGGTAAAATTCATTCTTATATTTTCTCTCATTTAATTGCTTGCATTTTTTATAATAATGGTCTGAACACACGAAATTTATCCTAGGACCCAATCATAGGCCTCAACCTACAATTTGAAAATATTGCTATAAAGGAGGTGCTTTGGGATTAAGCTGCAGAGAGTTTCAGCACAGACTGGTGACGCAGAGACCCCTTCCATGGCTCACTTTTTCACTAGTGATCTCAAAAATGAATGCGTACAGTCAAATCTGAGAAATTGACTATTTCCTCAAGATTAATGAGATTACTAGACTAAAGAGTATCACCTGAGGAGCACAAGAGACCTTCCACCAAAATACTTTGAGCCACCTTGGAGAAAGTCACTCAGTGGATGTCTGGTCTCTCTGTGACTGTCCTTCAGCCATTATCATCTCATTTATAGGGCCTCTCCCCATTTTATCAATTTATCCATTTTGTTAAAGTCTTAAAAACATGGCAGTCTTTCCTTAATCCTCTTAGCATTGTAGTAGTAGAGGATGGGAGGTCCTTCAGAGAGGAAAGGAAGGAAACCTGCAAGAGAGTTGGCAGAGCTACTTTCTGAGAACATCTCTTCCCTCCCTGTATTTTCTTGCATGTTGGGGGGGGGGCACTGCTACACAGATCATGTTGTCTCCATATATACATCATAAAATTGTTTGGTCCAGAGAAAGATAAATTGGGACCAAAAACTGTTTAGTGTCATCGGTACAAAAGAGGCAGGTAATAGGCTACATTTTTTACTACTCTAATAAATCACATGGTTGTTGAAAAGATCAGGTTATGGAAGAAATGTTAGAATGGTAGGAAGGCATCAAGAACTCTGCTGACTGACACAAACACTGTTTCATGCAGTACATAGATGCAGGAAACTTCCTGAAACTGAGGCAGACGTGTTTTATGCTCCCATGCAAGTTCTTCCAATGGTTTCAAATTGATTATTTTCTCTCTGTTCAATAAAACCCAGCAGTTGTCATAGCAACCCCACTTGTGCATTCTTGGAGAGTCATTTACCTCCTTTAATGTGGTTGATTCTCTTGAATACACACTTGCACAAATGATCATGAGATCTCCTTTGTATAGAAAAAGAAGTCTTAATTTAAAGGTTTTAAAGGTCTTTGCTTCATTTTTAGATTATTATAAGTCTCCTTTGTGCAGAATACCATCACATACAGAGGTTGGGCACTGTTTTTTAAATGTCATTACTATCTTGGCAGATGGCTCAAATAGCTGCTGTATTGATCTGGTTACAATCAATTCTCCATTGCAGATGATTATATGTATACATGTGTTCAGCCGAATGAGGGTACTTGATGGAACTCAGTTATAGCTGAGCTCCTTAAAATTCTTGTATGGCAGCTGCCCTTGCCAATCCAATTCAATTCTCTAAACATTTAGTAAGTATCTACAATATGCCAAAAGCTCAAAATATGATGATAAATAACCCTACATTCCTGGAACAATTATTATGGTGCCTGATAGATTTTACAGATAATGAGCATGTTTTAGGCCTGCCTTTTTTCTGGTCATTTTATTTCCTATGGTGCTGCTGGGCATGCCCTCCTTGTCAAACCTTGGCTTCCATCCCACAGTGCTCTTGGTTCTCTTTCCTCTCCAGCCAGGGCTTCTGTTTCTTAGGACACTCCTTCTGCCTCTTGCACTTGGGTTTTCCTCTGTCGGCCCCTCACCCTCTGTGTGTATGCCTGGCCACCCCCAAGGTTTGAACTCTCTGCCTGTTGACTAATCACTGCCAAATCATGTCCTAACCCCGACCTGACATAAGCGTCAGGCTTCTCTGCCCACCTGCCTGCTATGCATGCTCAGTTTCTCTGGCGTAGAGTGGGCTTCTGATCATCTATCTGGAAGCACACGGGGTTCTTTTTCAAGTATATCTGTTCTCAGCTTTGGACCTGCTGCATCAGTGTGTCTAAAGTTGAAGTCCAGGAATCTACATTTTTAACAAACACATGTTAAGTTTTCTCCTTAAGAACAGTGGCTTCAATGGTAAGGAGTGTTTGGCGAGGTCAGGGAAATGTCCTCAGAGCTGAACTGAACATTATTCTCTAGCTGAGATGATTCTTCCCATGCAAGTTTTTAAATCATTTTTAGAGGCAAATACTTTTAACAATAGATAAGAAGGTTTTGTATTTTTGTTTTGTATCAAATTTACAATATGGCAATAATCTATAGATGTACAATCAAGCACATAATTTAGGTTTTAAATGTAAAGCTGCTAAATATTAAATGAGAAAGTGGAAGAGATAATTAAATATATAAATTTTCCTAAAATGATGTAATTCAGCTGGGAATAAGAACAAAGCTTCTAATGAGGAAGAGATTTGTATTGCCTTGAAAATGTAGGAGAAAGAATACTTGAACCTTTTTCATAAGCCTTGAAATTGCAAAAGGCCTGAAGTTTCCCAAAAATGTAGTCAGAGAAACAAAGACTGCAGATAAATTAAAATTACTTCTGGAGAGAAGTGATTGTTTTTAATTAATAATTTATGAGGAGCAATTAACAGACACATATCTCCCATTTTCTCCAGTTAGACAATTGTCATTTTATCGTGGGCATGTATTAGTGAATTCCAGGCCCAGTCTCTGCAGCCTTCACGCTGGTCCAACCATAAAGTATCCTTACACTTTGCATTTTTTCCAAGTTGTAAAATTTGCCTCCTCTTATTTTTCCATTTAATCACTTTTTTATTTTAATTATTCACCTGATAAATATTTATCAAACACCTAATAGCTGGGTGTCATAAAATGTGTCTTCCCTCTCAGGAATTTGACATATGGTCTATGTATGATAAATACAATATTTCTGATATTATAATATGTAAATTATAATACATAATTTATTGTAGTTATATTATGACATATTATTTTAATACATAATTATAACACAAATATATGTAATATGGAGTTATGGTATAATACAAAATTTCAATACATATTATATAACATGTATTATATACATTATTTCATTATGTTATAGTATCTATAATACATAAATTAAACAGGACTAGAGAATTTCAAAACAAGTATAACTTGGAGAAGGAGGGTCATGGAGTTCCTTGCTTCTGTTTTAGGAATAAAGACTGACAAAAAGACACATTTTATGTCTAAAAACTGTAAAACATGTTTATTTTATAAATACTGGGCTCATTAAATAATTCTTTCAAGGTAATAATGTCTTGAAGTAGAAAAGAGAAAAAGATATGCTTGCACATAACAAAGAATATACT